CAAAGACAAATGAAATCATTGACGTGTTTAGGCAAGTGAAGGTTAACCTTCTGCTTTTGGATGCAATCAAGAAAATTCCGGCTTATGCCAAGTTTTTAAAAGATCTTTGCACCCAAAAGAGGAAGAATAAAAGCCAAGCACCTAGGAAAGTGGTCTTGACCGAGCAAGTAAGCTCTATTTTGCAACATAACACTCTTCCAAAGTTCAAAGACCCCGGTTCACCTACTACATCTTGTGTCATTGGTGACCATGTCATTAATCGGGCTTTTCTAGACTTAGGAGCAAGTGTTAATCTTCTTCCATACTCGGTATATGTCAAATTAGGCTTAGGAGACTTGAAACCGATGTTGGTGGTTTTGTAACTTGCCGACCGATCCATCAAAAAGCCTAGGGGTATCATTGATGACGTATTGATTAAGAGTGATAAATTTTTCTTTCCCGTTGATTTCGTTGTCATTGACACGGAACCGGTCTCGAATCCTAAAAGCCAAATTCCCGTTATTGTTGGCCGTCCTTTCTTGGCAACCGCGAATGCCAACATTAATTGTAGGACGGGGATAATGAAAATCTCACTTGGCCACATGAAGGTGAAGTTGAATATCTTCAATCCAACCTCGAATTCATTTGACAAACATAAAGAAGTGAATGTTATAGAGAAATGTCATGCTAATAAATGTGAAGAAATATAGTCTTTGCTTGAAACCAAAATTTCAAAAGGGTTATCTTCAACCCTAAATTCGAAAAAAGTTGTTTCAAAATCTTGTTTTGAAAGGGCATGGAAGCCCAAAGATCACATTGAAAAAGGACCAACAAGTTTCTTTGAGCCTAATCCAACAAGTTCTCTAGGGAACCATTTGTTGGGTGGAGTTCAAAGTACTTATCACCCCATTAAGGAGGGGATGCACTACAAGATATTTGATCTGAGCTAAAAGCCCAACGTCTTGCTAGAGACGTTAAAGACTAGTACATTTCGTAGCGTGTCACTGATAAGCGCCGAATAATGTATATTCAAGCGCCCTAAATTACATTAACAAAGTCCAGTTATTAATTATTTTATGTAGATTAACTCCAATTCTATGTTTTTATGCATTTTCAGGTTCATTGGCCAAAATGGAACAAGAATAAGGCCTTGTGGAATCTTGAGCAACAAAAGGTGCCAATGCTGAATTCTGGCAGCAGTAGAGCCTGGACTTTGCTTGCCATTTTGACCTTCCAAACTCGAGAACTGGACTTCCCTCATAACATGAAAGATTTAGAGCTCTGAATCAGCTTTCCAAATCTTCAAGTGGTTCATCATTCGGAGTTCGGAGCAGAGAGTTATGATCTTCACAACAGAGGTGCGCAGAACTGCCTAGCAGCACTGATGTACTGCCTTTCTCCCCATTTTCGACCAACCAGACTTGAGATTTGGGTCTTCATCAAAACATGAAGTTTTTAAAGCACTGAATCAGCTCTCCAAAGCTTCAAACAGATCGTCATTCGGAGTTCGGGGCACAAAGTTATAGCAGTTTTCCCAAAATAGGTCAGCACTGAGCAAGAGGAGCATGTTGCACATTGCACTAAGTTAGAGCGCTCGAAGTCACCAAGCGTGTGCTCGAAAATCAGGCAGAATGCCCTTCGGAAATGGCTCATTTCAGCCCACTTGCACATTGGTTTCCTCAATGCCATCTTCCTTCTTTATGAAGTGGTTGGAGGTGTTCCTTGGAGGAGAGAGGGTATGGTTGGAGCATAAAAGGCTACCCAAAGGCCACATATATCATTAAGCTTTATCTTGAGCAAGAGAAAGGAGAGAGAAGAGAGCAAGGAGAAGGGTGTTCTTGAGTGCTACAGTAGGAGCTCGAAAATGGAGATGAGGATGATGCTTCTTCCTTCTTCTAGTTCACCAATGGGTAACTAAACCTCATCTAGGGAGGTGATGAAACCCCTCCCTTGTAAGCATGTGTTAGTATAGTTTATTTTTGGGGATTACAATGTATTTTTGATAGTCTTTCCATGGTCAAGAGCCTCATTTTTGTTGTAATGAATGTTGAATGCTTTAAATGATTATTGTGAGTTATTCATCTTGTCTTGGATGGTTGCTTTTCTTAATCATATTGCTTGCACTTCCATGGTGACAATGGAAGTTAGATCATGGAATGGTTTTAATGGCATGGAGTTGGAGAACCTAGATAGTTCATGGCTTAGGGTTTCCCTTTGATGGGCTATACTTGATTCTTAGCTTTATGTGCATTCACCATTTAAATTAGGGCTTGATAATCCTTGGCTTAGTAAGCATGTTCTAAGCTACATTTTAGTTTAGGTAGTTGATCATGTGAACCTTTGATGGTTTATTCTTGCCTTTCTAATTAAATGAACTTCTTAAGGATATTATAGCAACCTAGTATTGTTATGTATCATGACTATCATATATGTTGTTTTCCCTTTAAATTAATCTTAACCTAGCATGTGTATAGGGATGGAGGTGGATTCATTTCCCTAGCCTTCTTTACTTGTACTCACTCCCTTGAATTCTTGCAATTTATTGTTTTATGCACTTTTAATTTCCTAGCTTAAGTGACATCCAACAAAACCTCTATACACCCTTCATCATTCTAAGAATGATTCTAGACATTTAGGTTGTATTAGACTAGCGTAGTCCCTGTGGTTCGACTTACCCGACCAATAGCCCTATTTTACAATGATTCGTGCTATTGCAAAGGTTGATGTTAATTGACCAACCGATCAATTTTTGGCGCCGTTGCCGGGGACTGCAAACGGTTTAGCAACCGAAGTTTCTAGGGTTAAATTTAGTTTGATTGTGAATATTGTGTCTTGTGAATATTCCTTGTGTGTTTTGACCACCTTTGTGTTTTAAGTGTTGTAAGATTCTAGGGACTCGAAGCTCGCCGTGGGAATGCTAGCAAATTGTAAGTCTAGAGGACCCCAGGTAAGTCTCGTGACTTCTAGTTTCGAGTTGTGAATATTGTGCATGTGTTAAATTTAGTTTTAGTTTAGTTGTGAAGCCCTTGTTGAGGCTCTTATCCTGTTTAAATTTTGTGTTAAAGCATCGGTCCTTGTCGTGGCCATTTACATTTTCCGTCTTGATAATTGAGGAGAAAGGGAACATCGTATGTGGAGTTGTGGTTGATGAATTGCTTTATTGAGTATATGCTTTATTGTTGATGTTTGGTCGTAGGTCACTTTCCTTACCCACAATCGATTCGCCCATTGATATCAATTCTCTTGAAAGAACTCTTAGACGGAACCTTAGGGAACCCACTCTTACAAGGGACCTTGAAACTGAATTCAATATAATGGGGGATAACGTAGGAAATCCGGGGAATGAAAGGGCTGAAATTCCTAATATCGAGCCAATGACTCTTAGAGATCATTTCATCCCTACCACCTATGCTTCTCCATCTTGCATAGTGATGCCAAACATCGATGCAGCTCAATATGAGATCAAGTCTAGTACCATTCAAATGCTTCCATCATTTCATGGCTTTGATAATGAAGATCCATACAAGCATCTTGATGAGTTCCTTGAAATCTGTTCAACCATCCGGTTGAGAGGTTTTCCGGACAATGCACTTCATCTCCATCTCTTCCCATTCTCCCTAAAGGATAGGGCAAAATATTGGTTGAACTCCCTCGCTCCCAACTCTATTACTTCTTGGGCTCAATTGCAACAAGAATTTCTTAAGAAGTATTATCCGGTGAGTAAAACCAACCAAATGAGGCGTTCCATTCTAAGCTTTTCTCAAGTTGAAGGAGAACAACTCCACGAGACTTGGGAAAGGTTACAAGATCTTCTTCGGAAGTGTCCTCATCATTTGATCCCAAAATGGCAATTAGTGCAAGCTTTCTATGCCGGCTTGACCGAAACCCATAGATTCATGGTTGATTCTTCTTGTGGTGGGATGTTCATGTCCAAGAATGCGGATGAGGCTTGGACCTTACTTGAGAATTTGAGTGAAAATTCACTTCAACACAATTCTCGTAGGGCTCCGACCGCAACCATTCCAAACAACACCAACCCTTGTCAACCAAAGTCAATAAGGGAGGAATCATCTCAAGTGGATGCCATCGCTCATAAATTCTATCAATTGATGGCACCACATCTTCCTCCTTCATTGTCTCAAAATTCGGCAAGTTCAGTTTGTGCTTCATGTACTAGTCCATTCCATCTCTCGGAAGATTGCCCCACATCGGAGCAATTTCCTAGTCCCAACCAAGAGCAAGCTAATGCCATGTTCTCGCGGCCCGGGAACAATCCATATTCCAACACCTACAATCCGGGTTGGCGTGATCATCCGAATTTCTCATGGCGGCAACAAGCCCCACAGAATTCCCAATTCTAAAACCAAGGGCGGCAAAATCAGCCCTCTTCTCAATATCAAGGTAGACCTTTCCAAGCCTCTTCAAGCTACCGTCCTCCTTACAATCCAAATGTCTCCAATCAACCTCCTGTGTGTCCAACTGACGAGATAGTAGCTGCAAACAAGCAAATGATGGAATCATTAAATAAGCAAATAATGGATGCCAACAAGCAACTCTTGACATCTTTGCAGCCTACTCTCCAAATGGTTCACTCTCATACTCAATCCATAGCTAATCTCGAAAATCAAGTGGGCCAAATAGCTAACTCGGTGAATCAATTGCTTCAAAAGGACAAGGGCAAGCTTCCCTCTCAACCTTTTGAAAATCCTAGAGGAATGCATGTGATTGACGAAACCCCTCCTCCGAGTGGGCCGACTCATGAACAAGTTCAAGCTATCACCACCCTTCGGAGTGGTAGAGTGGTGGACAACAAGGTCGATGGAGACAAAAGTGAAGAAGTTTCGCCGTTGAAAAATCCAAATTCAAGCTCTTCTAATCCAAATTCTTGTCCCAATACCATTCACGGATATCCCACACATGTCTCCCCAAATGTGGAAACTACTTATGAGCCAAAAGCTCCGTTTCCTCATCGTCTTCAAGAGTCGACACACTTTGGGAACAAGAATTGTAAAATTCAAGACATGTGGGAAGTCTTCAAGCAAGTGAAGATTAACTTGCCCCTGTTGGATGCTATCAAGCAAATCCCCCCCTATGCAAAATTTCTCAAAGATTTGTGCACTCAAAAGCGCACTTCTAAAAATCATTTGCCAAAAAAAGTGAGGTTGACTGAAAATGTTAGTGCTATTATTCAGCACAGCACTCCACCGAAGTATAAGGATCCGGGTGCCCCCACAATCTCGTGCGTCATTGGTGACAGCAAAATCGAGAGGGCCCTCCTTGACTTAGGAGCTAGTGTGAATTTAATTCCATACTCGGTCTACCTACAACTTGGTTTGGGCGATCTTAAGCCGACTTCCATGGTTTTGCAACTTGCCGATAGATCGGTCAAGCATCCACGAGGTATTCTTGAGGACGTCATCATCAAAGTGGACAAATTCTACTTCCCGGTAGATTTTGTGGTTCTTGATACGGAACCAGTCCATGACCCAAAAAAGCACATTCCCGTGATCCTTGGTAGACCATTTTTAGCTACGGCTAATGCATCAATTAATTGCCGAACCGGGGTGATGGACATTGCTTTTGGAAACATGCAAGTCAAACTCCACATCTTTCATGCAACTCAACATCCCTCCAATGAGGATGATTGTTTTCTTGTGGATGTCATTGATGAAGTGGTCGAAGAATCTCTCCCCTTCATCCTAAGCAAAGATCCCCTTGAAACTTGCATGTCTCATTTTGACTTCTCAAACTTTGATGTTGATCAAGCCATTCAAGAAGTCAATTCCTTGCTTGATATTAATGCTATCATGGATGTACCTCCTTGGAAAATTCCAAAAGAACCACTTCCCCAACTTTCCACCACTCCTCCGGTCCCATCATTGTTATCTCCGCCACAACTTGAGCTTAAGCCGCTCCCGGCCCATCTCAAGTATGTGTTCCTTGGTCCAAAGCAAACCCTTCCGGTCATTATTGCCTCGGACCTTCAAAAAGACCAAGAGACCAACCTTTTAGCGGTGCTCCAAGAGCATAAAGAAGCTATTGGTTGGACAGTGGCAGATTTGAAAGGAATTGACCCCTCCATTTGTATGCACCGCATTCATATGGAGGATGACGCAAAGCCTACTAGAGAGGTCCAGCGCCGGTTAAATCCAAACATGAAGGAAGTGGTCATGAAAGAGGTGATCAAATTGCTAGATGCGGGAATCATCTATCCTATCTCTGATAGCAAGTGGGTGAGCCCCACACAAGTTGTCCCCAAGAAATCCGGGCTCACCGTTGTTGAAAATTCAGCGGGCGAGCTCGTGCCACAACGAACCACCACCGGGTGGCGTGTGTGCATTGACTATCGTAAACTCAACTCATCAACTAGGAAGGATCATTTCCCGCTCCCATTTATTGATCAAATCCTAGAAAGGTTAGCCGGCCAAAGCTTCTATTGTTTTCTTGATGGTTATTCCGACTATAACCAAGTGGCCATCGCCCCCCAAGATCAAGAGAAAACAACATTCACATGTCCCTTTGGTACTTTTGCCTATCGACGCATGCCTTTTGGTCTATGCAATGCACCGGCAACGTTCCAAAGGTGCATGATGTCCATATTCTCCGATATGGTTGAAAGGTTCTTGGAAGTTTTCATGGATGACTTTTCCGTATTTGGCTCTTCCTTTGACTCGTGTCTCAAAAATTTATCTCTTGTGCTCCAAAGATGCAAAGAGACGAATCTCATTCTAAGTTGGGAGAAAAGCCACTTTATGGTCCAAGAAGGCATTGTTTTAGGACATGTCATTTCTAAGCGGGGAATCGAGGTAGACAAGGCAAAAGTTGAGTTAATCTCTAATCTTCCTCCTCCGAATTCCGTCCGTCAAATCCGTTCTTTTCTTGGCCATGCCGGATTCTATCGTCGCTTCATCAAAGATTTTAGCAAAATCTCACGGCCCTTGTGTAATCTCTTAGCCAAGGATGTTCCGTTCAATTTTGATGACGCTTGCATGGAAGCTTTCATAAAACTTCGCATTCTCCTCTCCTCTGCCCCGATCATGAAACCCTCTAATTGGTCTCTTCCCTTTGAGATCATGTGTGATGCATCCGATTATGCATTAGGGGCGGTTTTGGGCCAACGTGTGGATAAACTTCCGCATGTCATTTATTATGCTAGCAAAACTCTCTGCGATGCCCAATTGAACTACACCACCACTGAAAAAGAATTGCTAGCTGTGGTGTACGCCTTGGATAAATTTCGCTCCTATCTTCTTGGCTCCAAGGTCATCGTCTTTTCAGATCATGCCGCTCTTAGGCATTTGTTAGCGAAAAAAGAGACAAAACCCCGTTTAATTCGATGGATCCTCTTACTTCAAGAGTTTGACATTGACATCCGGGACAAAAAAGGGACCGATAATGTTGTCGCCGATCATCTCTCTCGCTTACTTATTGAGAAATCTTCAGAATTTGCAGCCATCCGTGATTCCTTTCCGGATGAGCAACTTCTTCAAGTTTCACATTCTACTCTTCCGTGGTTTGCGGATATTGTCAATTATCTTGCGGTTGGCAAAATTCCAGCTCATTGGTCCAAACAAGAGAGGGACCGGTTTTTCTCCCAAGTCAAGCATTTCTTTTGGGAAGATCCGGAATTATTCAAGTATTGCCCGGACCAAATCATCCGGCGATGTATTCCTGAAACCGAGGCCACAAGCATTTTAAATTTTTGCCATACTCTTGCTTGTGGAGGCCATTTCAGTGCCAAAAAGACCGCTAACAAAATCCTTCAAAGCGGATTCTTTTGGCCTACCTTGTTCCGGGATGCATACAATTTTTGCAAATCGTGTGAACGATGTCAAAAACTTGGATCCATGTCCCGAAGAGACATGATGCCCCTCACCAACATTTTAATTGTTGAAATTTTTGATGTGTGGGGGATTGACTTCATGGGACCATTTCCATCTTCTTATGGCTATGAGTACATCCTTGTAGCGGTGGATTATGTGTCTAAATGGGTTGAAGCCGCGGCTACCAAAACCGATGATCATAAAGTCGTGATCCATTTCATTCAATCTCACATCTTTAGTCGTTTTGGTACACTCCGAGCAATCATTAGTGATGGCGTATCTCATTTCCGAAATCGTTATCTCAAATCCGTCCTTGCTAAGTATTCAGTCATTCATAAGGTTGCTACACCTTACCACCCTCAAACGAGTGGTCAAGTAGAGATTTCTAACCGGGAGATTAAGCATATTCTAGAAAAAACGGTTAGACCGGATCGCAAAGATTGGTCATTACGGCTAAACGATGCACTTTGGGCTTACCGGACAGCTTATAAGACACCCATTGGCATGTCACCATATCGACTTGTCTTTGGCAAAGCATGTCATCTCCCGGTAGAATTAGAGCACCGTGCTTATTGGGCCGTAAAAAGGTTCAATTTTGATCTCAAACAAGCCGGCTCTAATCGTGCGTTGCAATTAAATGAACTTGAGGAATTGCGTAATGACGCGTATGAAAATGCAAAAATTTACAAGGCAAAGACTAAAGCTTTTCATGACAAACACATCGTCAAAAAGTCTTTTGCCCCGGGACAAAAGGTCTGGCTTTTCAATTCCCGCTTGAAGCTCTTTCCCGGTAAACTCCGGTCAAGATGGGATGGTCCATACATTGTCACTACCGTCTTTCCTCATGGAGCAATCGAACTTCATGATCCTGCAAGTGGATCACTCTTCAAGGTAAATGGCCAAAGGCTTAAGCCTTGCATTGACAGCACAATTCTAACCCGAAAAGTTGAGGAAGTCCCCTTGACGGATCCCATTTATGAGGAATAGTGCCTGCTCTAGCTTGGTCTAGCTATCGACATTAAATTTAGCAAAGCAAGGGAAGAAATTCTTTCGATGTTCCAAGCTTCCCTACCTTCTCAAATTGCTCGTGCCTTGAAATTTTCTGGGAAATGGTTTCGAAAAGCCAAAAATTTGATTTTTCTGAAATGGTCTTCAGTTGTGTTCCGCAATTTTAGACCGGCTTCTTAGACCTTCTCAACTCTTGTTTTCATTCCCGAAAGTTTCCGGCTCTATCAGGCAATTTTCTCGGACTTTCAACATGGCACTCACATGCATAACCTCTCATCTTCAATGCATTGTTGAAATGTTCTTAATCTCATCCATGCATTGAAGAGATGTTCCAAAGTTTGAAAATTTTCTCAAAATCATCCACGCATTGTGTGAGGTTACAAAAGTTAGGAGATCTTCTTGAAATCATCCATGCACTCATTGAAAAAAAAAAAAAAAAAAAAAAAAAAAAAATATGCACAATTTCAAAATTTTTCTAAATTTTCCATGCATTGCAATGAAGTGTAGAGTTTGACAATTTTCCCTCCTTGCATTAGAATGGATTGAAGTTCAAAAGTTTGAAAATTGTCCATGCATTAGAACGAAGTTGAAAAGTTTTCAAAATTTTTCATCCATGCTTTGGAATGGAATGAATTTGCAAGGTTTAAAAAATTTTCCTACATTCATCCATGCATTTGAAGAGACCAAATTCCACCCATGCATTGGAATGGATTGAATTTGAAATTTTTAAAAATTTTCCATGCTGTAAAAAAAAAATTTGCACAGTTTGAAGCATTTTCCAAATTTTCCATGCATTGCATGAAGTTGTTCCATCCATGCATTGGTTTGGAAAAATGCATGCAAGGTCTGAAAATCCATCTATGTATTACTTGAACTCAGGTGCAGCAGTTGCAAAAAAAAAAAAAAAAAAAAAAAAAAAAAAAAAAAAATTCCATCTAGTTTGCATAATGTTGCTCACATTGCCAATTCCATCTCCATATTGCCTAATGAGCTCACTGCCTCATTTTCGAGCCCTCTCAAGTTCCTTTGGAGTGCTCGCAGCCACCTCCCAGCAAACCCGAACTCTCTGGCTTCATTTCGAGCAATCTAAACTCCAATTTGGAGTGCTCGACCTTGTTTGATTTTTAAACCCCAAAGCTGCTGAGGCTACTGGTCCCAATTCGAGCACTCTACTTCCATGCTTAGAGTGCTCGACCACTTCTCTCAACCAAGAAACCCACCTCCAACAACCAATATCCCAGCAATCACCTTCCATCTGCCACCCTCCCCATATGCATGAACCACCATGCAGGAAACAACTCACCCTTCTTACCAACCTACACCAGCTTCTCTCACACCATCTCTCGGCCACTATGCCATCAACATATCAATCCACACCATGCACCATACCAACCCCCACATCCAAACCCACCATCTCTCTCTCTCTCTAAACAACCATCACCACCCTGCATGCATGCATGCACGTCCATGCATGCATGCCACCCCTCACACCCTCACTACTCTCGGCTTCCTCCCAACCCTCATCCCTCCCCAACCCATCCACCCTCTCGGCCATGCATGCATGCACGCCCATGCATGCATGCCACCCCTCACACCCTCACCAACCATAACCACCTTCCATGCAACACCCTCACCACCCCTCACCCTTCCCTGCAACCCACTCCTTGCATCCCTCTGACCAAACCTCTCACCTCCCCACCCAGCTCACCACCCTATGCCGAACCCACCCAGCTCACCACCCTTGCATGCATGCACGCCCATGCATGCATGCCAACCCTCTCACCAAACATCTCACCTCCCCACCCAACCAATCCCACCACCCCTCCACCTTCCATCAACCCTCACCATGCCATTCACCTCAACCAACTCAAACCCTCACACTGCTCAACTTTCGAGCACTCGAAGACCAAGCTTCGAGTGCTCGAACTCCTCATACCCACACCCTATGCCAAACCCAGCTCTCTGCCCAAATTTCGAGCACTCGAAGTGGGACTTCGAGTGCTCGAACCAAGCTCTCTCTTCTCTCTTTTAAACCCCCTTCTCTCCCTCGCAGCTACCTCCCTCTCAACCCACAAAAACCACCCCCAATCCTCTTCCACCTCACAACTACCTCCCTCTCTCTCGGCCCCTCCCCTTCCCCAAACCAACCAACCAACCTCCCCACTCCACCTCCCTCTCAACCCACCAAACTCCCACACCCTCACCACCTCACACCACCTTTCTCTCGAACCCCCCACCCACCAACCCCTCCATGCACCAAATGCATGCCACCACTTCCTCTCTCTACCCCAAACCCACAATCCATCTCTCATCCACCACCAGCCCACCCACATTGCCACCACCCCTTCATCTCTGCAGTTCCCATTTCCTATTCTGTCCCAAGGTATGTGAGCTTCCTTTTTTTTTCTCCTTTCCTTGTCTTTATTTCATCATAAGGAGGATGGGATTGCATGTTGGTGATTTTGTTGATGCTTGGGTTGCTTGTTGTTGATGTTGCTCTATGCTAGAGCTTGTTATCTTGCCAAATTTTTTTGGGTTTGCTCCTCCATCCCACTCACTTCCATCTTCTCCTTGTTGTGGTGCACGCCAGGTGTTCGCTGAAATTCCTCAACCAAGTCCACCTCTCTAAATGTCTCGTGCCGGTCCTTCTCGCCCTCCTCGACCCTCTTCAGGTGCCCGTACTGTCACTCGTGAGCGACCACGTGATCCTTGGGATCGCAAACAACTCAACTACGAACTCTCATTTCCGCTCACGGATGCCTTTGACATTTTACCCACAACTTCGTGGGCTGTGGCCGAATTGACTAACCGGCGTCTGCAACACATTTGCGCACCCCTTGCCAGGGTTGCCTACCCCCGTGTAGTGCGCCTCTTCTACCAGAATCTCCAGTGCCCTGAAGAGCCACCCATTTCTCTCACTACATCCATTGACGGCACCGCCTATGCTTTCACTATGACCGACATCATTCAGGTTTCTGGTTGCCCCATTGAGTGCCCCGATGACATTGTCAATCGTGAGAATCTCCCTTTATATGAGGAGCCGGATACATTAACTGTGGCGCAGATTGCCGCTGCCATTTGCCCTATTGACGATCCTACTCGGCCCCGGTCTTTTATCCGCAAAACCAATCTTCCGGAACGCCTATGGTTCATTGACACTGTCTTTAAGCACAATGTTTGCCCTTTGGTGCACAGCACCGAGTGTCGGGGCCTCTTTCTGCAAGCCTTATATGCCATGGACCAAGGCCAATGGTTCTCCATCCCAGAGCTCATTTGGTCCACCTTTATGAAGTTTTGGCATGATGCTCATAATGCACGGGCTCCGCGAGTTGAAAATCGGAAATTGCCTTTGCCATTTTTCATCACTCGACTCCTTCAGCATAAGGGTTTCGTTGTTCCTCCCCACGAACCAAAAGGCGACAAAATTAAAATTTTTACCCAGCGCCGGTGGATCAATGTTCTGAGCCATTCTAGTACCCCTCCGCCTCCTGCCCCCCTGTTCATCCACGCTCCACCTCCTCCTCCTTCTGAGGCAGTTTCCACCGCCGCAGCCACTGCGAGGATAGAGCCTTCGGTCGACTCTCACCAGGACCAGGCTTTCATCCGGGCTTCCATTGCCGGTATTCATGCGCGACTAGATCGTTTTGAGCATTCTTTGTCCGCGTGCACTCAGGCTCTGTGTGAGTCTTCTTCACGTGCTGAAGAAGATCGTCGTCTTGCTGCTGAAGACCGCCGTGTCGCTGCTGAGGACCGTCGTTTGGCTTCCGCTGAACGGCGTAAGACTCAATCTCTCCTCCATTCCATCCTCGCCCGTTTACCTTCTGGCCAGTAGCTTGTTGCGCGTGTGGACCTTCTCTTTTGTTTCATCTGTAACTATTTCTCTTGTATATTTTGTTTTCCTTTTAAACTGTAAGAATTTGCTATGTATAGGTTGCTCTGGTCGACATGATCCCTGTACAGTTCTTTTTGTCATCATGTAAACTCTTTTTTGCAATGCAAGTTCTTTATCTTCTGTTAACTTTCGATACATTCGTTTTCTGTCTTTATGCTTGTGCTATTAATGTGTTTGTGGTTGTTTCTTTTGGTTCTTCATATTGCTTTCCAGGTTGCGCAGTCCAGTTCAAGTTTGGGGGTTTTTGTCTCAAAATGCCGTTCCCTCCCCCTGGGTATTGTTGTTCCTTTTATCCTCGTTGTCATTTTTGTCTCTAACTTGCATCCATGTCCCACATTGAGGACATTGTGTCGTTTAAGTTTGGGGGTGCATCAAGCATTCTTGGCATATTTTTGGTTCCATAATTTTTGCTAAGCAATGATAGTATAACCTGACACTTGTCGGAGATGAAACATATGTTTAATACCTTGTGTATAGAAGCAATTGAAATTTTTGAAAATAAAGAAAAATTTGAGTTGATATGATCATGTAAATACAATGTAGTCTGTATAAATGCCTCAATTAGATTCTTGCTGGATTTACACTCTTATAAGCTTCACAATGCACAGATGCACATTGGAAACTTAACTGTGAGGCATGCAACTTGATTGACCTTGACCTTGGCCTAGTTAATCTGATTTGATGAACCTGATAGATGGATACCTTTGGCATGTATTATTCAAAAAAAAAAAAAAAAAAAAAAAAAAAAAAATGATGACCAGTTGACGTTCGTAGCCTTTCCAACTCGAGCTATTAAGCCCTAGGAGTGTCTCTACACTTAGCACCCTAAAGCCATCTGGTTTGGGAGTTGTTGGCCTAACGCTTGCTACAAGGGTTGGTTAGAAAGCTTAAGGGACTTAAACATTGCACGGTCATTCAAAAAAAAAAAAAAAAAAAAAAATTAAACTAGTAATAAACATGGTTCGTTGGAGTTCGTAGCCTTTCCAACTTGAGCTATTAAGCCCTATGGAGTGTCTCTACACTTAGCACCCTAAAGCCATCTGGTTTGGGAGTTGTTGGCCTAACGCTTGCTACAAGGGTTGGTTAGAAAGCTTAAGGGACTTCAGCATTGCACAACCATTCTATGTTTCACTTATGTGTTGAAATAAATTGTTAACAAGCAACAAAAGTTGTCTTGAAAATAAAATCATGCCTTAGGGACTTCATGTAAAAGGGAATTCATTGACTTGAAAACTTGTGCCTTGGAATTGGAAAAGAAAGTAAAAGCCGCATGTTGAGAATTCAATTCACTTTCACTGAAGCTAGAGTTGATTTCCATTCAAGAGATGATAATTGAGTTATTTATATAGACTTTGATGTTGATGCATGTATGTAGAAAAGTATTTAGCCAATTTTTGTATCAATGCTTCATATATGCAAGGTAGTTTTCTCAATGACCCCATCTCCAGTTTTTGTCTGTTTCAAGTTGTATTTGAGCTATGTTTCTATCTCATTTTACCATGGAGGATATTTTTGTAGTAGCATGCCCATGGTTGTCTTTTCTTTATGTTTTTCATTGTAGTTTTGCTAAGGGACTAGCAAAATGTAAGTTTGGGGGTGTGATAAGCGCCGAATAATGTATATTCAAGCGCCCTAAATTACATTAACAAAGTCCAGTTATTAATTATTTTATGTAGATTAACTCCAATTCTATGTTTTTATGCATTTTCAGGTTCATTGGCCAAAATGGAACAAGAATAAGGCCTTGTGGAATCTTGAGCAACAAAAGGTGCCAATGCTGAATTCTGGCAGCAGTAGAGCCTGGACTTTGCTTGCCATTTTGACCTTCCAAACTCGAGAAATGGACTTCCCTCATAACATGAAAGATTTAGAGATCTGAATCAGCTTTCCAAATCTTCAAGTGGTTCATCATTCGGAGTTCGGAGCAGAGAGTTATGATCTTCACAACAGAGGTGCGCAGAACTGCCTAGCAGCACTGATGTACTGCCTTTCTCCCCATTTTCGACCAACCAAACTTGAGATTTGGGTCTTCATCAAAACATGAAGTTTTTAAAGCACTGAATCAGCTCTCCAAAGCTTCAAACAGATCGTCATTCGGAGTTCGGGGCACAAAGTTATAGCAGTTTTCCCAAAATAGGTCAGCACTGAGCAAGAGGAGCATGTTGCACATTGCACTAAGTTAGAGCGCTCGAAGTCACCAAGCGTGTGCTCGAAAATCAGGCAGAATGCCCTTCGGAAATGGCTCATTTCAGCCCACTTGCACATTGGTTTCCTCAATGCCATCTTCCTTCTTTATGAAGTGGTTGGAGGTGTTCCTTGGAGGAGAGAGGGTATGGTTGGAGCATAAAAGGCTACCCAAAGGCCACATATATCATTAAGCTTTATCTTGAGCAAGAGAAAGGAGAGAGAAGAGAGCAAGGAGAAGGGTGTTCTTGAGTGCTACAGTAGGAGCTCGAAAATGGAGATGAGGATGATGCTTCTTCCTTCTTCTAGTTCACCAATGGGTAACTAAACCTCATCTAGGGAGGTGATGAAACCCCTCCCTTGTAAGCATGTGTTAGTATAGTTTATTTTTGGGGATTACAATGTATTTTTGATAGTCTTTCCATGGTCAAGAGCCTCATTTTTGTTGTAATGAATGTTGAATGCTTTAAATGATTATTGTGAGTTATTCATCTTGTCTTGGATGGTTGCTTTTCTTAATCATATTGCTTGCACTTCCATGGTGACAATGGAAGTTAGATCATGGAATGGTTTTAATGGCATGGAGTTGGAGAACCTAGATAGTTCATGGCTTAGGGTTTCCCTTTGATGGGCTATACTTGATTCTTAGCTTTATGTGCATTCACCATTTAAATTAGGGCTTGATAATCCTTGGCTTAGTAAGCATGTTCTAAGCTACATTTTAGTTTAGGTAGTTGATCATGTGAACCTTTGATGGTTTATTCTTGCCTTTCTAATTAAATGAACTTCTTAAGGATATTATAGCAACCTAGTATTGTTATGTATCATGACTATCATATATGTTGTTTTCCCCTTAAATTAATCTTAACCTAGCATGTGTATAGGGATGGAGGTGGATTCATTTCCCTAGCCTTCTTTACTTGTACTCACTCCCTTGAATTCTTGCAATTTATTGTTTTATGCACTTTTAATTTCCTAGCTTAAGTGACATCCAACAAAACCTCTATACACCCTTCATCATTCTAAGAATGATTCTAGACATTTAGGTTGTATTAGACTAGCGTAGTCCCTGTGGTTCGACTTACCCGACCAATAGCCCTATTTTACAATGATTCGTGCTATTGCGAAGGTTGATGTTAATTGACCAACCGATCAGTCACAACCCTATTCTTCCCTCATTTCTATTTTAAATTTCATTTCTTGCGAAGTCTAGATATTTGCTTTAGGTTCATATACATTGCTAGTAACTGTGATTAGGATTGCTTGCACTTTCATGTTGAAAATGGACATTTTGTTCCTGTTCGATTGATCTCAAATGAGGTTCGATCGATCAAACTCCATACCTGCATCCAACTAACTCTTTGTCCAATCGTGCGAAGAAAACCTGCATATTTCAGCTCTTTGTCTGATCGATCGTAAATTATTCGATTGATCCAAATTCGTCTTGGATCAATCTGCAGTCTCAACACTTAGAAAAATTTTGAACCTGCATCCAACCTGCATCTAAAGAGCTCTCTGTCCCATCGTTCGAACATGTCTGTAGATTTTTGTATTTTCAATCGATCAGAGTATTTCTGAGATCGATCTTGGAGAAATCGATCTCTTTTCTTTAATTTACTATTTAGACTTTGACTTTGACTTTTGTTTCGATTTTTTTTTAAAAAAAAGAAGAGAAATTGTCAAAAATACAAAAATATTTCTGTTTCTTTTATTTTATTTTGTTTTTTTTTTTTTTTGAAAAACTTAAATATTTTTAATATTCCATTTTTAATTTTCCATTTATTTTTATTTTATTTTATTCATTTTCCAAACAAAATCCAAAAAACATTTTTGATTTTTAATTTCTAATTTTCAAATTTTTGATTTTTAAATTTTAATTTTCCAAAATTCAAAAATAGTTTTAATTTTTAATTATTTTAAATTCAGAAAAATCCAAAAATTTTAAAAATAATTTTGTCATTTAAGAGGAGAGATCGATTCTAGTTCGATCGATCTGAGGATTCAGTTCGATCGATCGAACTAGAAAGGAAATGTTTTTAAAAATCGAACCTAGGGTCATTCGATCGATTTCAAAGAAATTGATCTTCAAACCCTAGAGCCCATCGCCACTGCAAACCTTCTCTTCCATCTCCAGCGAACCTTCCGGCGACTTCATCTCATCTCGAATCTCTCACGCTCATCCCGGATCTTGGATTTCATTTGCATCTCATCTTCTCTCTCGGTTTGAGGTGAGATCCGAGATCCCTTTTTGATTTCAAAGCTTTATTTTGATGCCATCATTGCTTTCCATGTTAGATTTATGATGATGATGATGATTATAGCCATTGATGAAGCTTTGAAGCTCTGTATATATATGTGTATATATCGGTTTTATATTTTTGGTTTTGATTTTTGATTTTGGAGGTCACGGGCCTAATCAAGTGACCATGTTTGTTGATTTGTTGTGTAGAGGGGCCCACAAGCTTGCTTGTGAGGCCCCCGTGCCATCCACGTCACAAATCTGTAACTTTTCGAATTTCACCGCACAGTTCGATCGATCGAACTTTTTCTCAGATCGATCTGTAATAGATCGATCTCACTTATTCAAGATCGATCGAACTTGCATCAATCTCACATTTTATGATCGATCGAACTTCACAGATTTGCATCACACACTTCACACACCATCTCTTGTGTTTCATGCTATCTCATACATGCCCAATGCCTGTGTTTTCCACATTGGATGCATTCCATACTTATACTGTCTAAGCATGAGTCACTTAATGTCATTTATTTCTTATGACTTGCATAGATTCATGTCTTTTATTCTATTTTGTCTATCTTATTTGACATACATGTTTTTATAGGCTATGCCTTATTTCCTTATTCACCTACTGACTTGTTCTGTAAGTTTTCCTTTTATTTTGTAGGCCATGGCTAGGGTCAAGACTGTTGCCTGTGGACATTATCATCGTAGAGTCAGACAGAGATTAGATGACCAGGTAGGCCTATCACACGTCCAGGACCCCATTATTTAGCCAGAGCCAGAGCAGATACATGACCAATCAGAGGCAGATACAGCTCAGTCCCCATCCGCTAACTCTAGACTACAGTCTTTAGCTACCGCATCATCTTCTTCAGCTGAGGCTGAGCATGTACCATCTCCTTTACCACCACCGATACAGCTAGACTTGGTCCCTGAGAGACCTGACAGGAGATTCTCACGCCTTCAGGTGGCGCATGAGTTGGTGTTCAACATTTCTTTTTTCTCCCGATATATACTGACCCGACCAGCTTATGATGATCTTGACCGTAGGGGTCTTTCAGCTATATTTGCCCCAGTCACTTATCCAGTTTATCGACGGCGTGTTCAGTTATTCTACCAACATCTCCATCCGGCCCCGGGTAACTTATCAGTGCTGCAGACCACTATCGATGGTTACCCCATCCGGATCACAGTTGATATTCTAGCGAGATCATCCCGATGTCTTCAAGTCTGCCCTCTCGATGTTCATTATCCTATTTTGGAGAGGAGGCCTTCTTACACAGACATAGCTATGGCACTCACAGGCCACTATGCAGATGGCGAGCTTTTCGCCACTTGGACTTATCTGTCTGATGAGCTATGGTTCTACGATTCGGTCCTATACCAAAACGTATTTATGGGGGGCCATAAGATCCAGAGGCGGTTTGATATTCTAGTTGCTTTGTATGGATTCTACACCGACCATTGGGTGTTTATGCCAGCACTCTACTGGAGTGTCATAATGAAGTTGTATTCCACTTACATAAGCAAGGCCAAGCCCAGGCGAGCCACTTTTCTACCACTTGGCCATCTGATCACCCAGATACTCTGAGACCAACGCTATCCTATCCGTACGGATGAGCGTCCAGAGACAGGAGCTTGCCACTTTGGCAAACAGGATTGGGATAAGAGTTACAATGCTCTAATCAAGAGTTTGCGCAAGGAGGCAGTTTTAGCAGCTGAGGAGCTTGAGATAGAGGAAATGGAGCAGACAGCAGCTGTAGCAGCAGCAGCCGATCTAGCAGACCCACCAATGACTGCTGATGTGCATATGGATATTGATTTAGAGCGAGAGCCGCCAGTAGAGGAGCTTCTGCGTCACTCTCCGGCAGGGTTGCCAGTTCATTCTCAGGAGCAGACTCAGGACATACCGCAGTTTCATGATCTAGTCATACCTGAGGCTCCAACTCAGACACCTGGCCTAGGAGAGCGTTTCTAGACATTGAAGGGTGAGGTTGTCTCTTTCCGGGCAGATGTTGTTTCTCTCAGAGTAGACGTTATCTCCCTCAGCACAGATGTGACATCTCTCCGCTCAGACGTTCTAGTTGCGCTGTAGGGCATATCCAGAGATATTCGAGGATCATGCCCCACCCGCCCTACATCCTCTGCCTGATCTCTCTACTTCTTTTTCATTTTTATCCATATCTGTGATATTAGACTGCTATTTTGATACTGTTATATTATATTTTTTAGGCCACTCTGTCGGCCCTATTACTGTGATGTACTATATATACTGTTTCCATTTTCTATATTATACATGATATTTTTGGATGTCTGGATTTTATATTGATATATCTGTTTGTGATTGACTCCATTTATCAGGTACATTCCAGTGACTTTAGTGAGAGAGTACTGCCCGAATTTTTCAAGACCACATTTTTCTTTTCTCTTTACTTTAACTTCTTATCCCATTTACAATTACATATCCACTGTGCACTATTATTATCCCCTTTATTGTCTAATGAACTTTTATCCAGTGCCATCTTTTCAGGACCACTGTTAATCCCAAGTTTGGGGAAGTTATACCACCCACTTTGGATACTTGTGTCCCGGCCATTCTTTGCTTAGCTGCACTGGTATACTCTTTCCTTTGTTCTCTTTGCACATTAAGGACACTATGCTATTTAAGTTTGGGGGGGGGGGGGTAATGGTGTTAATTGTAGTATTTGCTTTCAATTTAAAATTTTGAGCATGACTTGTGTATTTGAGGAATTTTCTATGATTCGTCCATAACTAGCTATGATTTTGATCTTTTGAGGACTATATTGCTTAAAATTTAAAAATTGCTTGACTTGATAGTCCAATACTCCTTGTATGCCTTGTGGATGCCATTTAGGAGTAAATTTTTTGAAAGATTGATATCATGCTTGCACTTGTGGTCCACATCATTATGATTTTATGATTGTTTTGAGATTCACTCTAGAATTCTACACTAGCACAGACACACACTGGCATTCATTTGTAGGGTACATGCTTTGTTGATTATTGAATTGGTTATAACCCAATTGGGCTAGTAATGCATTGAAAGCTTTCATCTTGATAAAAGTGGATAACAAACCCTTTTCATTAAGTAGTCGAGATTCTAGCCTCATCAAGCACTGAATTTCTTGCACTGAAAGGTGGAGGGCCTAAACTTTAGGTTAATAATTGAACTTGCTACAAAAAAAAATAATAATAAAAAAATAAAATAAAAAAGAAAGGACTTCTCCCAAAAGGTGAGAAATGGGAAATGATTAGATGGAGGTTGTTTTGATTTGTAACCTAGTTGATTTGAGCTTGTAAGTCTTTAGGGGTGTTTGAACACCTAGTGCCCTAAAGCCGTCCGGTTTGGGAGTCATTGACCTAACGCTCGACCTCATGGATTGCTAGAAAGCTTAATAGATCAACACATTGCACTATGCTTCTATCTTTGATCCTTAGGATTAAAAAAAAAAAAATCAAGTGAAAAGAATAAGCGCACCTAGTTTAATAAAACTTTAATAAAAGGTTCACTATTTGTATTGATGATCGGTACTAAATTTGTGTGCTAGTTTGAGAGTAAGGATGTGATCATTTCTTTAGTTGGCTTAGATAACAACTTACTTGATGCCGGTCCACTCAAAAGGATTCTAGTGTTGTTTTGATTTGCATGATCATTTTCTTGATGTGTGGAGGACCATACTTGCTTGCTTGATGTTGAAATTTTTGGAGATTGCTTGGAAAGGGTTCAAAAATTGCATATTTGAGGTTGTTTTATCCCAATGCTTGTTTGCAATATTGGTGTCTCTTTTGTGAGAATGAGCTTATTGTTTGTGGGTATCATTTCTGGAAACCCTCATGAGACTTCACTCTTCCACTAGGGGTAATCTAGGGGTTTAAAAAGCTTGTTGCATATGCTAAATGTAATCGTGTTCCCTACGAAAGTGACGTTATCTATTTATTGCTTTCTAGTTCATAGTTGTATAGTTGTTCATTTCATTCCTTTACTTTCTAGTTCATTGCTAGGGACTAGCAATATTTAAGTTTAGGAGTGATAAGCACTGAAAAGTGCACATTTAAACCCCTTAAGCTTAGGTATTCTAGGACCTTTATCTATCTTACTTTCCCGTTTTAGACTAATTTCGTATTATTGCCCTTTTTAGGTGCTTATCCCCAAAATAAGCTAATTTAGCCAAATAAGAACTTAAAAGAAGCTAACTCAAGCTGGATGGAAGAAATGAGCAACGTGAAGCAGATTGAAGCAAAGTATGGGATTCAACAGGTTCGATCGATCACAAGTATATTTCGATCGATCAAAAGTTCATCGATCTAGACATTTTAAGATGGATCCAAGCTCTTTCGTCCTTATCCAAAGATCCCACAAAGTTCGATCGATCCAACAATTCTCAGATCGATCGAAAAGATTCCATCTTATCTTGTTGTACCACCCCACCTACCACTTTTGTCTCTTTCCCCAAAATATCTCAGATCTGTCCTTATCCAAAAAGGTGCCACTATTGGAGGATTGATCCAGCCAAAGTTTGATAGATCTCAGCCATGTTCAATTAATCTCACCACAGTTCAATCGATTGAACTTCCTCAAGCCCGAAAAAAGACAAAATCCAGCTTATTAAAGGATGGCTCATGGTGCAATCATTGGAGGAATATTGATGTGCGAGCCCAGACTATTGGTTGTGATATTTTAACCTACCTATATAAGGAATATGAGCCATTTTTGAGAGGAGGCTAGAGACATTCTTGAGAGGTTACTTCAAGAAGAGGAACATTTCTACCATGGAGATAGCCCTTGAGGGTTGGAGGACACCATTCATGAGTGGCTAGACATCTTCGTGGGGCTAGAGTTTGCCCTAAGCATGATTTCTTTATCTTGATTCATGTATTTTTGAGGGGATTTGTATTGTAATACATGTTTTGACATCTTTATATACATAGATCTTGTTTATTCAATGATTTGTGTGGTTTAATTCTTCTAAGTGACCATTTCATTCTATCCATATGTCTATGTATGCTAGAATAGATGTTCATGTATTTATCTCTATTTCTTGTATTGTTGATGCATGTCTATGTGTATGAATGCTATAGATCTAGAGATTGTCAAGACATAGTGGTTAATATAATGCTCTTGTGGTTTATTTGATGGTTCATACTCATTTCTTGATGGATTTTGTCTCTCCCTTAGTCTAATTAGTTTAATTTTCATGTCATTAACTTAGATATAGTGTAGTTACCTTAGTTGTTAAATGGGAGGACAATCCATGCTTGTTATTTGATGTTCCATACTTATGAATGCAAGTAGTATATTTTTCTAATTTTGTGATGTGTTTAGATTGTGAGCTTAAAGAAGGATTAATGGCTTACTTTGATTTATTTTACTATTCATTGTGTTGTCTAGACAATATACACTTAATTGGTCATCCATGCTTGTTGAAACAACTGCACACACTCACTATTGTTGCAACATATGCCTTCCCCTCATTAATTGTGAATTGAGTATAGAGAAAAGTGATGCTTAGTGGTGATCTCTAAGTTCCAAGACCTCTCTCTCTCTCTTATTTTCTCTATCCTTTAATTACTTGCTTGATTTTGATCTAGTTTAGTTTTAATTGTAGTTTAATCAACCAAACAACCTACCTTTGATCACTCGACCTACTAACCCTAAGCCTTGTTTCCACTACTAGTGCACCCTTAATCCCTTGGGACGATCCCTACTCACCCTTGCTATATTTTTAGTTAGAGGTAGTAGTGGCATTTATAAATTTAAAACTTGGATACATTGCACATTTACTACCTTTTGAACATCTTTTAAGCGTTGGTGCGACGGCAACACCAGGACTATATTAGCGTTAAGTAGAATAACTTACTCAACGGTTAGTAGACAAGTTTTGTAAAACCTGCAAAAGATTCTGAAGCTATATTTTGTAGATTGGTTTTGCATCGCGGTGTCTTCAATAAAGGATCCATATTATATAAAATACTTTAAAATTAATTTTAAGAAATTATAAAGTAAAATAACATATTTTAAATTTTTCTAAAAGCACCTGATGTTGTAACAAAATGGGGTGAGTAACACCAATATGGACATTAGATGGATTGAATTTGGCTACGTTAATATATATATATGTTTCATATGACATTATAAAATTTTGAGTAGTAAATAGGGTTGTAAATGAATTGAGTTGTTCATGAACAGATCGGGTTTGACTCGAACTCGTTCAGTAAGTGTTTGGCTCCTAAAAACTGAGGTCCTTTCCAAGTGCGGAAAGGAGGGTGAATGTCGGACGTGCCAGGAACTGCTGTCATTTCAAAGTGGGTATCCGAACAACTATCCAATAGGAGATTGTAGGGATCAGGCATTGTACGAAGGACTGGAATTACCACCTTCAAAGGTTCTTTTTGCCTTGAAAAAAGGACTTTTGGACTGATTTATGGCTAGTGGAAAGGAAAGCGGCATTAAAAGTGAAGGACTTCAAAGTAAAGTGCTAGAAAGTAGGAATAATAAGTGCATGACTTGAATTAAACATATTGAAAGTGCATTACATGAATGTAAAGATACATGAATGTAAAGAAATTGAAGTGCTGTTTGGCTGTGTGATTTGAACAGGGTTTGCAAGTGAAGCATAAGTGCTCTATTTATAGAGCTTTCCATGCATGTAGCAACTTAGTGTGGCAACTCCAGTGACTTCCACGTGTATTGATTTCAAGCTGCCAAGTACTCTACGTTCTTCTAGCAGTTGTAACTTCCTCTTCCCATTTTCCTCATCCTCTGTCACAGACTTTTCCCTTCTTTAGACACGATTTAATTAGTTTTGTTAACCACTTTCTTTAGCAATCGCTTCTATTAGTGGTAGTTCCCTTATGAAGTTCTGCTACTCTCAACCGACGTTTTCTTGTTTAGCTAGGTGTCCCACGATCCTTGTAATTCCTTCTTCTTCAGAGTCCTTCTCTCCCTCTAATTTTATA